GATGGTGATTAGCCATTCGTTAATCATAATGAGCTTGTACCACAAAAAGTAATGTTGCAGGACAAGTTAGAAGTTAATTTCTCGCAAGAAGATATGCTATCACGCTGCAGCCTTTGCAGTTTGATATAAAAAAAAATGAAAATAATCTTCATGTGCAAATAAGATTTTCTTTAAGTGGGTACTTAGTGAAACCAATGCACATTTTACTTTCAGGTAGAACAGTGGAGATCTGATTTGAATCAGATTGATATTCCCACACTAATATTTTCATTTCATTGTGTAGTATAATCGTTAATCAATACTATAGGTCCGACTGCGGCTGCTCTATATTAAGTTCGCTTGAGGCTCACCGCAATCCCACGAGTGTAATTTCCACTCATGATGATTTAATGTCATGGGGGTATTGAAATACTGTACTTTGACTGGTGAGAGCCTTCATACATTTTGCTATGATTTCACCAACAGGCACAGTAATGGTGTTGTTATTGTTATGGGTTTCGCGCCATATTTTTAGCACATAGTAGTCAATGTATGACGGCAAGTATATCTGGTTGAGAAACAACTTGGACGAACCCCGAAAAGTATCACCGACCCACGGGAAACTACTCGCAAGCATTCTCACACATCAATGCTGATACAGACCGAGACTTAAATTCACGCCGAAAGCGACGAGAAGGGCACGCACCTTTAGTCCACTCGGACACCCGTGGCCCGTGCACAATAATGAATGTGATTGCCTTAAAATATGTCAGCGCAGTCATATTAGTACACTTGTTCATCTTAATTGTCAGAAAAATATTCATACTAACATAGTTTAACTAAAGACTATTCAATCCCTAATGTTTAATGGTACCTTAAAAATGATCGAAAATTTACAGACGAAAATTATTGATCACTCTGAACTTTTACAATGGTGCCCAGGAACTAATCTTGGTCAGCGAAAGATCTGGCTGGGTATAATCATACGAAATAACTGTGGAAGAATTTGTCCTTAATTTGTTATAGAATAAGTGCAAAGTGTTCCTTACATTCACAGCAATCATTATTTTAATTAAAGATTTTTGGACATGAAGTAACTCAAATTTCATAAGAATTGAGGTTCGGGGATTTTCAGGTCAATTCGAGTTTTGTCTGTGCTTTGTTTACTCTCCAAAAACCAAATGTCCACAATTTCAAAGTCAATGCTACGGATCGCACTCGAGTATATGTTGAAATCTTCTATTTTGAACTACACTGGCTATTTAGGAAACATAGATTGCCGAGAAGTTAGGAATGATCTTTTTTTTTGTTTTCATTCGTAACAATCCTAAGTAGTAGGAGTAAAGGTTTCTTCTAGCCCAGAGACCCCTAAAATGCCCCAAACAAGTATAGATCGACCACATCGTCAACACCTCATGATCACCATCTTGTCCATGACCAAAGCATATGATGCATCATCATCAACGTCATCATTCTTTGTGAACAATCTCATATGACAATACATTCGACGAACTTGTTTGTGGCATTTTAATAGTCTCTGATCTATAACCAGCCTTTTCCCTACTACTGTTACTGTCAAATTTTCAAACCTTATTTTTATTATTCATACTTTGTAACCAATGATGAATGTGTCAACTGTTGATATTAGAAATATTTCATCGTCGTCTTGGTAGAGACTAAACTTTACATTCGAACAAACCTTTTATTTGCAGCTTGTGAAGATATTTTTTGGTGATCAAATATACTTTTGACCGATCGAGATCGATGTTAAGTTTAGTGAGGAAAGCCCTGAAAATTAGTTTCTTTTAAAATTAAACCTCCTTATGAAACTAGATCGCCACGATATGCCCACCAGGACATATGACGATATACCCACTCGGGCATATGACTTTGTGCCCACTCCTGCACATGACTGTCGCTCAAAATGTTGCTTTAAAGCTGAAGACGGACTAATTAATTTTTATTTAAAAACGGAGTCATTAATTTTTCAATTAAAAACATGTATAAAGCGATTTGTTCACAACAAGAGCCAAGACATGAGGCAAATTGCAATATATTGAATTTGGATACATTGAATATATTTCTAAATAAATGCGCAAAGGTAAAGTACCTTGTTTTAATATTTGATATTTGTATTTTTGGTTTTTCTCGACAGACTGCTTTTAAACATCATCTTTTCAAAACTGACTGAATGACAATTGACAGAATTGGCGATGTTGTAAACAAATTGATTATTAATAATTTATATTTATGAGAGGAAGTCTGAATTTCAGATGATTTAGCCAGTTTGATCTACTTCATTTATTATTAAGTTTCTCTTTTTCCTTTACGATTTCCAGCAACCTGACTGCCAAGACCCTTTGAATCTTTTTACCTACCCGTATGAAAAAATAAGAATAATAAGAAGAACTTATCCCGCCTATCGGCACGAAGTGTTCCAAAATTAGCATATAACTGTGAATACAATATCTGCAGGCTTAACGGACGTACTGGTGATGAACATAAACAACGACGGTATCGTGACTATATCATGTTTCCTGTGCGAAACAGAAAATGCTGTGAATAAGCATAAAATAGCAAATACTAAATATATTTCACCTTCATGCTCAAAGTATGTACATGAAACTGTGGTGTTCGCCGAAGAAGCAAAATACACATTATCTAGGATGAGGTGGATTTACGAAAAGATTCTTAACTGAAAGTAATCAGAGGCAGTCTCACACCTACCCGTCCTTCAAAAAAGTATTGACTATCAGCTCATATCAACCCCAATTGGTTTCCAGTGTTTTGGTCGTTTTGTACGTTCATGATATTCATAAACAATGGCGATTCTCTGTCTCTGTATGGCTTTATGCAGTTAGACTGGGCTAGAATTGTCCATTTATCACACTTGTTTAGACTGGGCTAGAATTATCCATTTATCACAGTTGTTTAGAATGGGTTAGAATTGTCCATTTATCACACTTGTTTAGACTGGGTAAGAATTGTCCATTTATCACACTTGCTTAGACTGGGTTAGAATTGTCCATTTATCACACTTGATTTTTAATTATAAGTCATCATGAGTTAAATTTTTTACGTTCGATGACGTATGAAGAGAAAACGCTATGCAGACTTAAGTATGATCCGCTTCGAAGAGTACTGCAGGACATACAGTTTGTACAGCGTTTATTAGTTTCAAACCTTAATGTACCAAAAAGAAAATTTAAAAAAATTATCAATCCCTATCCAGATTAATTCAACGTTGCATTATGTACTTTACATTTCGCATTTTGGGAGTTATTCGACATATGCTATCAAATTCGATTGGTAAACTAAAATTCAGATAACGAATTTCTGTTCGAATAATCGCAACAATACAGATAATGTGAATGTTCGGTCATTTATTTCAACTCTATCAAAATAATCTAATAATGTCAAGCTTGCCTAGCATACTAAAGAAAGATGATCGCTGATGCATATCGTTTGAGCGCATATCCTACATTACAGACCCAAATGAAAACCTCATGTTTAATATATGTTGTTTAGTCCGGCAGAAAACTATGCACTAGTAGAATTTAACATTTTCTAAATCTTAATATCCTTCAATTTTTACTATAAGAATAACCGGTATAGAATCAAATATCCGGGATATAATCTGCGTTACATATGTACACAAAGTAAAAATAGATGTCGCTTTGGCTTGTAGACTTTTAGGGAATTATACAACGTTTTCAGTTTCCGCAACTAGTCTATACAAGCTGGTTGTATTTATAGTGTTAGCACATGTGAAGACAGAAATGTAGAGGTTTACAAACACAACGTTTTTGTGTTTATTTGTTTGTCGTAACTATGTTTTGTATTTGCCTTTGAAAAAGACTCATTAAGAGTCGAAAGCGCTTAGGCTAGTTAGTTACTAGTTTCGTACTGTTCGTCGTCAGTTTATTGCATCTATTTTAATTAATCCCTGACAAACGTGATCCCTTGGTGGATCCAGTACGCTTGAGAGGGTTGTTATTCGCCATATGATTTGTATTCTTTATATATATATATATATATATATATATATATATATATATATATATATATATATATATATATATATATATATATATATATATATATATATATATATATATTTATTGCATCTATTTTAATTAATCCCTGACAAACGTGATCCCTTGGTGGATCCAGTACGCTTGAGAGGGTTGTTATTCGCCATATGATTTGTATTCTTTATATATATATATATATATATATATATATATATATATATATATATATATATATATATATATATATATATATATATATATATATATATATATATATATATATATATATCGAATTTTTAAAGTAACAGAAGAATTATCACCATTGTATATGAAACAACAGACGCGCATATGGAATTGCAATGTAACTATATTTAGCGAGAAATATTCAATTTCAGTGGTTGAAGTCCTTTTGGGCAAAAAGTGCGACTAAAGTATTCGAGGGGAGACAAATAAAAATAACACAATTACTTGTGTTATCATTTTAGTTGCCTCCCATATCAATTTCTGCTTTCTTCAAGAGTGAGTGATTTTTCAATTAAACAAACAAAAACTTTTCCCTGAAACCAGACCGTTTAATTAGCTTTCCATCGTTATTTTAAGTTTATGTTACTCAATACTTCACCGAGAAGTAAAATATATGTTGTTCTTGCAGTCGGTCAGAAGACATCAAATGAAAAAAATTTTATATCTTTATACTCCCATTCATAATTTTGGGAAATACCTAAACTAGCGGTAATAGGAAATATCTGAAAATTTCTTGCTTTAACTTGCGTTGATTATCAATACCTGTACATACCATTCGGTTTATGAATAGCAGAATATTTCATCTCGAGAGCCGATTGTAAAGAATTTTTCAATGTAAATTGTATACGCTTGCTACTTGAAATCTGTTTATTTTCCTGGAAAACGTAATCCAGAGTATTCATAACAATCTATAAGTGTCTCATCTCCTACTTGTCTGCTTCCAGTGTACCGCGCTTCCAGTGTACCTCTCCGGTGGCCTAGTGGTTGGAGCGTCCGCCGGGGATGCGGGAGGTCGTGTGTTTGATCCCCAGCTGAGTTATACCAAATACTTACAAAACTAATACTAACCGCTGCCACGGTTAGCGTCAGGATAATGTGACTTGGTGAGACATCATGATACATGTCTGCGGCATGATGTTCCCGTGCCTGACATCACTACAAACTGCCATACTGCAGATATCATTAAAAAAAAACCAAATCTCTCTCTCTCTCTCTCTCTCTCTCTCTCTCTCTCTCTCTCTCTCTCTCTCTCTCTCTCTCTCTCTCTCTCTCTCTCTCTCTCTCTCTTAAACTGCCATACTGCAGATATCATTAAAAAACCAAATCTCTCTCTCTCTCTCTCTCTCTCTCTCTCTCTCTCTCTCTCTCTCTCTCTCTCTCTCTCTCTCTCTCTCTCTCTCTCTCTCTCTCTCTCTCTCTCTGTTTTGAGTGCTTGCTTATTCGAATAATCGCAAAAATAAAGGTAATGTGAATTTTCGGTCATTTATTTCAACTCTATAAAAGAATCTAATAATGTCAAACTTGCCTAGTATATTAAAGAAAGTTCTCACTGGACAGTCGTTTTTGCACATGTTTATTCGACGATGACTTATTGCAGAAAAATTTTCATAATTTTACAATAAAGTTACAAATAAAAACTAACTAATGATTTTTGTTGAAAGGATGCTTGTAAGATTCTGACTAAGGTAATTAGGTTAATTCCTTATGCAACTGGTGGTTTTGATACTGAACCTATACTACCACCAACCCCTCTTTTTTACATTCATTTTTGACAGAAAAGAGCTATTTTTTATACTGTTCCTGTGAGAAGCAGGCTAACAGAATCAGTATGTACCTTATTCATCTTGAAAGTTCACTAGTTCTATAACAAATTAGCATGCTTGTCATCACCCCTCAACCATGTATATTTTTAAATATTTACCTATGTAGCAGACACATGTAAATACGTAAGCCAAGTCCGCTGCTCGTTTGCAGCCCAACTTGCGTATTTGATATCCAAAGCTAGTCTATCTGTAACAGGAAGTCACCAACATGGCAACCCATTTACAAGCCTAACTCAAAGTAAATGTAAACCACATTATAGATTTAGCTTATGTGTGAACTTATAATGCTAGGGTTGTCATAGTTAGGCTCATGCCTTCTACCTTAAAAATTAGGTGGGTGTCAAAATATTAAACTATCCAGTGAGACCAAAGATGAACGCTGATGCCTTGAGCGCATATCCTACATTACAGACCCACAATGATAACCTCATGTTTAATATATGAGGATTATCACTCGTCAATATAGATAGTGTAAACATGTACCTTGGATGGAGCATTTAGAAATATGTGCTCACATTCAAATAATAAATATTTAAGTTCATTTATTTCTTTTTGTTTCAAATGTGAAAGTTTCTGGTCATAATTTCTGAATATCGAAGATTTGTCACTCCAAAATTAATAGTGTCTGATTGCATTCCTTCATTTAATTCCTCACTGAGTGGGACAGGAAAAACTAATATAATTGCATGATTTACTGGCTATCTCTCTCAATATACTTGTACCCCTTTAATTTATTTAGAGTTTTATTATTATAATTTAACTCATTCATTTTATTCTTAACTTTGTTAGGGCCGTAATAAATAATTTGAAGAAAATTTTTAAGAATGAGCAAGAGAAAAAAAGAACTTTATCACCAGACTCAAAAGTTCTCTCCATTGAAGTTCTGTCACACCATAATTTTACTTTTGACATGAATTCCTGGATGCCAAATTCAAGCATAATTAGCTGGCAAATTCCAGACATAAAATTTGAACCTTGATCAGATTGGACAGATGTGGGAAGGCCAAACTGAGTATTAAAAACACTTTATCAAAGCTTTTAGTTTTAATATTCCTCAAAGAGTTGCCTCTAGGAATCTTGTTGACGCACACATTATTGTCAACAAGTATTGGCTACCTGACTTGGTCTTAGATAAGGGACCGACTAAATTACCATTGCTCTGCTAAATGAATTGTCAAATGCGGAAATAGGTTTAGATGAGCCTTAGGTATCTTCTGATTGGGTTTTCCTACGATTTGACAAGTATGGCAAGATCTGAAGTACTTACAAACATCACTGTCAATTTTTGGCCAATAGAAGTGAGTCAAGATCTTGTCAGAAGTCTTATTGATCCCTAAATGATCAGCCAAAGTAGTTTCATGGGCCAAACAAAGAATTTCCTGTCTGTATGATTTTGGAACTACAATTTGATGGTTCACTGACCACTCGTCACCAGCAGGTACCTCAGGAGGTCTCAATTTTCTCATATGAATTCCAATTTTTATGAAGTAACAGACAAGTACTTCAGTGGCTTCAGTTTTACTAATTGCCCTTGTAAACAAACAGTAGATCTTTGGCTCTTTTTCCTGTTTGACTACCAGTGATCGTCGTTTGTCACCCTGATTAGAATAAAGAGAACGAGTAGTTAAAAGAGGATCATTGTGATCAATACATTTTGATTGATCCAAACAAGGAGCGAAAATGAACTCATCAAAACATGACCAGTACATGTATCAGCTAATGGAAAATTTTCCTTAATAACGTCATTCTCAAGAGCTATATGTGTCATTGCTCTAGTAACTGCACGAACTTGGTATCAATTCTTTTTCAATAGGATCGAGTTTCTAATCCAGTCAAGGCTTGTCAGTTACAAGTTGATTAACCACAACTTTTTTTCCAGCCAGGTCGTTGCCTATTAATAAATAAATGACCTGAACGGATAAAGAAGACAGTATTTCGACTGTTATGTGTCGTGAGACTAAGTCTGACGACAAATTTACACAATGGAAAGGAACATTAACAAAGCGGCACACTACTCCCTGAAAAAGAACACTCTCATTATAAGACTTCTGAGAAAAAGGCAAAGCACCTGATAATAAACGACTCTGAGAAGCTCCTGTGTCCCTTAAACTTTTAATAGGGATGGGATTGGTAAAATCACCCAAGAGTAATATAGAACCCTTCGACATGAATGGTTCATAATTCTCCACAATAAAATCAGATTTGGGCTTATTAGGCCCAACAAATGTATTGCGTTCAATACATGACTGTCACCTTGACCTCTTAGAGAAATCGAGCATTTGGGATAGATCTGTCTTGATTCTGATGCATTCTATTCAATTTGATACAAATCAGAAATAACATGTCCATTTTTTCAATAGGTTCACGGGTCAAGCTTTTCAAACGCTTGATTTTTAAAAGTCGTGAAATTTAGAAGGGCTCGTACTAGGTTGAAATGCCAATTTAGCAGAAGATTGCTAAGTGGAAGACTTCCTTACAAATGAAGCCTTATGAGCTAATGAGTACCACGATCAGCAATTTCCAAGGTTTTGGTCTTATTCTCGTCAATATAAGTCTTAATGTCACTATGGACGGAGTTTTTAAACTCTTCAAGTAAATTGCCTAAGACTTTCCTCATCTTGTGCACTATCTATCAAATGACTGCTCTTTTTCTCATGAAAATTCTACATGAGTTTGTCCAGCTTCTTTTTCATAGTTCCTAAATTTTTGCATATCAAACTCAGGGACTATTTCATAAACCTTTAAGATGCATTCCTTAACCAGATCATAGTCGTCACTTTGCTGAACTGACGGATATGCATAGATGTCTCGGGCTTTGCCAAAGTGCGCATACTGTAATAATAGAGTCCAATGCTCCTTTGGGCATTTGAAATTTTCAACAATAATGAAATTATTTGTCTAGGTTTTTCTCTAAAAGGGGGCAATAACCTGAAGAACTCAGTAATATCAAAATTTGAATTTGTATGTGAAGTGTGAATGTGCATTTCACTTGTAAGCTCTAATTACTTTATTCGAAATTGATATTCCCTCTTTTCCTTATCTCTCTCTCTCTCTCTCTCTCTCTCTCTCTCTCTCTCTCTCTCTCTCTCTCTCTCACACACACACGATGAAGAAAATATTGGTATACCTCCATGTTCCTTTCACGTACTGAGGATGAAATTTTGGACTTTGTACTTGATAAATATTTTAATGGTCTAAACACATTGCTAACCAAAATGACTGATCCATTGTGCTTAAAAAAGTCATCCTGAATGAGTTTAAAATACACTATCTTGAGCAGTTATTAAAATAGGAAAACGAATATTGTCAGACGGGACAATACCATTTTCTGAAGGTGCAATGAATGAATTACCAAATATAAAAAATGTATTTTGTTAATGTGTATCTGCTCTTTATTTACACTTAACCTCTGAGTCTAGGGAACAAAAATGGCCAAGTGGAGGTTAAAGTAGTTAAAATGTAACATATATGAAAGTATATCAAGCTGTATACTTTATAAGCCAGGTTATCAATTTTAAACCAAACCAAAAGGGTATTAAAAGTTTTCTGAACAATACCGAAGATATAAAATCTGTTTTTTTTTTTATAAATGGCCAGTATAAACCAGAGAGGACAATTGGAAAAATTCTTTTTCCTTACAAATCTAAATGCAAAATACGAAACTGTAGAGCGCCACCATAGTAAAAGCAATTTGAAAAATGACCAAATTCATGACTAAGCTTGAACGCTAGGACTGCTCTAGGTCAAACCGAAATTATTTGTAAGGTCTGTACTTAGTCATTTAAAAAAAAGAATAACTTTGACGTTGTTTGATCACTGGGCGTTCTCCATCTAAGGACATTTTGTTTTGATCACACGCTAATATGGAGTCTGCATTCATTTGACTTCGTTAGGCTTAGAACAACTCATGAAGCTTCCAAAGCAGGGAACCAGACAAAGTATACCCAAGATTCTTTCTATACTTTGTTGGAACAGGCCGAATACATTCCGAATGCTGGTTGACGACCTGTAGATAAATTACATGTGTGTTAAAATTTTGATTTTTTTCTAGTTCTTTGTTTCATTTTTATATCATTAAATATAATCATTATTACGACGATGATTATATTCGCAGGATCTAATGTTTTGTTAGTAACATGATGTTTATTTAAAACGTAAATGTGGCTAACCTAGGCACGATTTTTACATGCCGGTTTTGTTATACTAGGTACATAGT